ATGTGATCAATCAAGTCAGTTTCATGTTTCCAGCCCACACAGTACCGGGAAAAAATTAATGACACTGACTGTTCTTGCTACAGAAGCAACTCAACTAGACAGCAGCCTTCAAAACAACAGGAAAGGAACACTTCACTTTTAGTCATCTTGTAGGAGAGGGGGGAAAAAATACACACACACACACACACACACACATATGTAAAGTAAAAAGCCATTTGCCTAAAGGACAGAGCTGGGCTTCTGCTCTACTGGCCTAAGTAAAAACTAAGATTCCTCTTTTCACTCGGCTTAAGCATGTCACAGACACCAAAGGCAGTGAAGAAAGAAATGCTTGATTTAGAATCTATACCCGGCCCCTGTGGTTTGCCGACTGGGACTTGCAAAGCCAACCCAATGTGAAGGGATGCCGCGCAAGGACACGAGCGGCCCCTCCACGCCATCCATCACAGCCGCGCGGCAGCTGTGCCTCATTGCCTGCCCACCAGACCCAGGGAGTAAAGACTGCCTACATTTCTCCTGTTCTCTCTCCCTCCCTCTCTCTCTCTCTCTCTTTCCTCTCACCCCTCATTCTTGTCTCAAGACAAGCCCAGCCTCTCCATTACAAAAACTCAAATCCATCCCTTGCACAGGAAAAGCAGTGAGGTGCTAAAGGCCCAGACTGTTCCACTGTATGCACAGGTGCCAGGCCCTACCTCTTTCCCTTACCATCCTCAGAAGGAAACGGCCCGTCTATACTCCTCATTTCCTATGTCCCCAAACCTACTCAGATTTACACACCCTTAAGCATTTACTTCCTAAATTAGATTTCCCAAATAGAAATGATTTGGAATTTGGATCTTAGAGAACTTTATTTAATATAAAGATCTAGGGTATCTCTGGAACCACCGCAGGAGGCAAAGGGAAGGCCCACAGAATGGGCTCGAAAACCAAATCACATTTCTTGCTTTTACATACAGGAATTCTATAGAGGATTGCTTTTTAAATAGGAATACTTTTTCACTCAAATAAAAAAAAAAGGAGATATTATTAATTAATTAATACAGAGAAACATTCCTTCCCTCGCCAATAGCCCCATGACCATGAAACCAACACAAAGAAAGCTGCATGCCTTCTTTGCTTCCCCATGAAAGGGAAAGAGCTTAAAAAGTCTTTGTGTTGGACAGTGAAAAGCCACAAACAGGCAGAATGTTTACTGCTTCAGTTCCTAGAATGACAATATCAGAGAGCTCAGGATCACCCGGTCCAGCACTTCATTATTCAGATGTGAAAATGAAAACCCACAGAGGTTAATGGCTTGCTTTATTAACTTAGAGACAGAACCAAAGTCGTTACCACAAATTTTTTTATACATGGTAAGCACTTAGTGTTGAAAGAATAAATGTTTACCTAAATAATTTGCTAATATATACCTAACTCATTCCAGAAAAGAGTTCAGGTGGTTTTCTAAGAGACATAAAACAAACAAACAAAAAGAAGTGATACTACTGAGTATCTACCGAAATGAAAAGAAGTCATTTTATCAAAAAGACTCCTGCACTAGAATGTTTATTATAGCACAATTCACAATTGCAAAGATGTGGAATCAACCCAAGTGCCCATCAATTCATGAGTGGATTAACAAAATGTGGTATAGGTAGACCATGGAGTACTACTCAACCATAGAAAGGGATGAATTAATGCCTTTTACAGCAATTTGGATGGAACTGGAGACCATTATCCTAAGTGAAGTATCTCAAGAATGGAAAAACAAACACCACATGTACTCTCTAATAAATTGGCGCTAACCAATGGGCACACAAGTACACAGAGGGGAGTAAAAGTCACTGAAAATCAAGCAGGGGGGAGGGTTGGGGAGGGGATGGGCAAAAACCCACCTAATAAGTACAATGAACACTATTCTGATAACAGGCACATTTATAGCCCTGACTCAAGCCATGCATCAAAAACATCTGTATTCTCTTAATATTCTAAAATCTAAAAAATATCTAAACAAAAACAAAAGAATGACATTTAATAGGAGTAAAAAAAGAATGAAAGGATGTGATGAGAGTTTTTCTTATCTTGAACTCAAGCTCCAAAAATTTGCTCTTTGCTGCCTCAAGTCCTCAAGACTCTGAAATTTTCCATTTGTTGCCCTTTTCTAGGCTGTTCTAAATTTTGAGTGATGAACAATTTTCTACTTAGAACTTTAAATAACTTGAGAGAAACCATTGTGGGCTTGCAAGTAAAGAGATTTTTTTGTGGGTAATATTTTGTATTTAGGTACATTCTGTCTTGATTTTATTCAAATAAAATGTATTTGTTCTCCTCTGAAGGCCAGAGCCTTTCTATGTAGATTTGCTGTAAGAAAATAGAATTGGGTTATGACAAACAGCAGGACAAATAGGGACCCTAAAGAGGTCACATAGGTTGCCATGTGTTGGGATTGGCCTGATCATTGTGTGTGAATATCTTCCAGGAGACGACTAAGGTCCCACTTCTCTAAGATCTGCCTATCAGCCAGCAACAGTGGCTTCATCTGGAAGCTTGTTAGCAATGCAGACTCCCAGGCCCTGGCTCATACCCACTAAATCAGAATTTGTGTTTTAACAAGATCTCAAATTGATTTAAATGCACATTAAAATTTGAGAAGCAGTGCTGGATAGCATCTTTAAACTCACTGGTGCAGATGTAAAATGTGCAAAACGCAGCCAGAGAACAACTAAATTCAACCTGGGCCATACAGCTGGAATGGAGCACATCAATGAGAAGGTTTGGGGAGGGAAGAATTTTGGTTTGGTTTTTGTTTGTTTTTAGAGGTTTTTGTTGTTGTCCTCATTGATCTTCGGTGAAAATATCAAATGAAAGTCAAATGGGGAAAAGGTACTTTTTGAGCCAATTTGTTTAGTCATACTTTGGCACACATTGACAAAGATATTCACTCCCAGGGGGCATAATTGTTCTTGAGGAGTGACTTTGTTGTGGAGAAAACTTTTGTTTCCAGAGGCACAGGCTACACAGCACGGAGCAGAATAGAAATATGGCGATTATCCAGTTCATTTACTTGCTCTACACAGCCAGACAAACCAATCCAGGTAGTGCGGGCCATAAAAAAACATTCCGAGGTGCCTGAATTATCCAGGTTCACTGTTAACATTGTTCCAATGAACTGGATGGCAGCCAGCCTTGCACGTCATCGTGTGCTTTCAAACACAGTGCAAGGGGGGCCTGCACTGAGACGTGAGACAGGCGGGGGCGGGTGTCAGTAACCCCTGGACCCAGACAGCATCTGACAAAGGGTGACATTAGGCTTTGGCAGAGTTACGGCTACACTGTCTGCAAAGCAGTTATCACATGGAAGGCAGGGCGCCCTGCCAAAATACAGACACTGGGACCAACCAAAGGATAATTGCTATAAATTCCATATAGGGAGTGAAGACAGAGATGTCAGCAGAACACGTCGCCTGGCTGGGTAGCAGCTCACACAGGACTGCAGGGTAGAGTCCGACAAGAAAGGGAAGATTTTTTTGAAAAGGCCAAATTTGTTCAAACAAGGTATGGCAGGCCAGCTGGAAGACATGTCAGTCAAGGACCAGACGCTCTGCTCAGAGGTATTTCTGTCACTTGTACAAGACAGCTTCTCAAAACTAAATATAAGGAAAAATTACAGCTAGATTTTCTCCAGGAAAAAGGAGTATGTTCTGATTGTAATGTAGGCAACCGGTAGATTAACTAGTATTTGTTTGGCCCCTTCTAAGGGGCCAGTCCCTCTTTAGGAGCTTTGCATAAATTGGCTATTGCAGGGAAAGGGGCTGAGAATCAAACCTGAGAATCAAAACCACCCCTATTGGGTTCTTATTTGGACTGTAGGGATCCCTGAAGGTCCTGCAACTGTATGGAAATGTTTGCATGTATTTACATATATATTTCTTTCTGAGAAGAGAAACCATAGCTTTCAGCAGATTCTCAAACAGATCCGTGACCCCACAAACGTTAAGAAGCACAGTTAGCCAAATGCGCATGGAAGAATGAAGGAACTGGCATCTACCAAGTATTCTCTGCCAGGCCCTGTCCTTGGTGACACCGTCTAATCCTCCTGAAAACCTTAATAAAATCATCCCCATTTTACAGTTAAGGAAAAGCCAGGCTAAAAGTAAACAAGTGGCTTTACCAGGTAAACACACCTAATAACTATAAGACATAGAATATATAAACTCAGACCTACCTAGTCCAAAAATCTACCCTTTTCTATGCTATGGCACTTCCTGGGTATGGGGGGAGGGGGCAGGGGGCACGGGAGGAATTGCAGAATTAGTGAAGGAAGGCACCAACGAAGACCAGCATGACATTTTAGCTGGCTTTTGAAGAATGAGTTAACTTTGGGCTTCTAGAAGTAGAAAGAAAGGCATTCTAGGTCAAAGGGACAAGGTAAAAAGAAGCAGAGTAGTAAGAAAGGATAAAACATTAACCAAGGACATCACCGTCCCTCCTATTGACTAAGGTGCTTCGTAAAGACAAGAGCCAAGTAACGGTCTCAAGACTAAGTGCATCGGAGGATTAAACTTGGAGCCCATTTAGTCTTACATTTCCTGTCACCCAAACCCCAGTGCAAACAGAGGATAACCTCTCCTATCAGAGACCCTGACATAAAGCCCAGGAGCTGCTTAATGCCCGATATCGATTCAAACAAGTGCATTTTGTTTATTTCTAATGCATCTTAAGCAGGAAGCGCAGGTTTACTGCAGGTCAGGAAGAAGCCAAGAGCTTACCCAGGGCCACTGGAGCCCAGACGGCAACACACAGCCTCTCTGGAAGGAAAAGATCACCCGTTAAGTGCGTGGGGATTTAATGCATCTCAATCCCTCAAGACTGCTCCTGTCTCAGCATAAATAATATTCAGAGACTAAATATCCCACGTGCACCACAATACAGTTAATCAGGCTTTAGACACAGGTTGGCTATACAGCGGGATCCTGCTGCCTTCTGAAACGGAAAAGCCTCTGGACAAGGGACATACTCACATGGTCTCTCGTGGAATTGAATTGTAGTTTTAAGTCCTGTGATTAACGGATGGCAAACCCTTGTCCTGGGTCACTCGTCCTCTCCTTAGCCTCCAGAGACAGACTGCAGACCACTCGGCTACCACCGTCAGCCACGCATTGTTCAGCTCTGCTGTTATTTTTAGTAGTTAACTCTGTTTTTAAAGGAGTCTCTTCACATGTGTTATTATTGCTCAGGTAGTAACTCCAAGGAATCTTCTCACTGGCTTGGAAATGAATTTAAGTGTATAACAAGCCAAACCTCCTCAGGATCCCTGGATGGGAAGTCTTGAGGTTTTGTTTCCCAGAAATAAAGGGCAAAAGGATATTAAAAAGATAAAGGTGCATGATAGTCATCTTGTTTCAGTAGAATGTAAGTTGCTCGAGGGCAGGACAAGGTTATGTGCTGATTGATTTAATAGGTGTTGAGTCCTAATTATCTTCATAGACCATAGAAATAAATCTATCAATATATTGCATTACAAGAAAAATGTATTGCTCCCTTTAGAAAGGACCAAGCAGCGTTCCCTCTGATGACTTCTTTCCTTTATACTGATTAATAACTTGAAGGAGAAGTTACTGTTCTAAAAAAGAATACAAGTAGAAAATACTGCATTCTATTCCATAAAATCGGAATAAAAGATTCTGCCTCTCCTAAATAACGAGGTGGTTAGAAACGAAGGAGTTGCAGTGCAGGGGGCCAGGTGAGTATCATTCCTGAAAACATTTCACTTTCAAAGCACACAATATCAAAAATCATATGTAATTGTGAGATTTCGTACTTAGTATTTCTCAAACCATAGTTTCCACCAGAATTGATGTGCTGCATGAGGAAACCTAAATATAAAATTTTGAAAAATGACAACAACAAAAAAAAAAGGAGATAAATTCCTGAGTCACTACTATCAAGGCCAGCAAACATGTGCCTAGAAATAAATGCATTTCTTGTGCCCGCCAGCATACCACCTAAAAGTGCTATCCTTAGGCAGTGGGAAATGTCACTGGAGAAAGGATGGCTATAGTTTTACACACCTGAACAGCGTTAGGACCATGCATGGGAACATGATCCATGGAGCTCTGGACAGAGATCACTGAAAGCCCAACTCTGCAGCTTATTATCAATCCAGCATGGGTGCTGTTTTGTAAACACATCTAATTTGGTTTTAAATTTTAATCCATAAAGTCATTACTAAAGGACTCCAGGCTGCTGAAATGATGAAACAACTGCTTCTAAAGCTGGCAGGAAGGCACCAGAGCCAGAGTTAGGGTTTTCTGTCCTTGGCTTCCTCCCTTGTCCATCTCAAGTCCCTGATTCCTTCTCACCGGGGAGCTGACTTCTCGTGCATGGTCTCCCACTCGCATGAAGGATTTTCTCTTGCTACCCGGCTGTACTCTGTGTGTGTGTGTATGTTTCTCTTTCTTTCTCTCTCAGTCTCTCTCTCTTGCATGCTCTCACACACATGCACACAATGAATTTCTTTGCCTCTTTCTGATCCAGTGTTCCAATCACTGCCTCCTCTACCCTTTCAATTTAACCTACTTCTATACACCAACATTGCTCTTTAACAAAAGGATCATGTACTGGATTAATTTGGGAGAAAGAAATTGTCTTAAAGAGGGGATGGCAGGGACACAGGTGACTGGCGGATGAACTGACCAACTGACTGGGCCAGCAGCATCTCATCTATAGCCCTCGTCGAGTATTGGTTCTCACAGGTAATTCGCTAACCATAAGATGAGAGGTTTTGTCCAAAGGAGAGATCAAAAGGTGAATCTTTCAAAACAGGGCATATTACAAAATTTGGTTTATTTAACAAACCACGTGTCAGCTCTAGTTCTAAGGGATTTATCAATTTTAACCACCAGTTCAGTCCTCATACTAGCCCTGTGAGGGTGATATTCTTCTTCTCCTTTTCCCTGGAGACTGGAGCACAGAGAGGTCAAGTGACTTGCCCAAAGTCACACAACTAGAAAGTGACTGTCAGGATGTCCATGCAGAGACTCTGGCTCCAGAGCCTATGCTTTTAGCCACTCTACTCTGCTGCTTCTGATTTGATTGATTGCACATTTGTCTAATACAGGCAAAATTTGCATTCATTTTGTATGCATCCTATCTACTATTAAAGCCAAGTAATCAAATATTGCTCAAAACTCATGTTTATGGCCCCCACCATTCACAACACCTGTGTTGACAAGAAATATTCCAGACCGATCTCTCATGCTTCCTTCTCTCCATTCCTTCTGCCAGTCCACAGACACGAGCACATCACATTCTCTTTCCAAAAAGCATCTTCTTTAAGAACCATCCTCCAGGACTCTTCCCGACTGCTCAGTGAGGTTTCACACAGCAGCCCAGAGCAGCCAAGCACACACAGCCCTGGGGCTCTCAACACAGAGGCCCAGGAAGCTTCCCTAGAAAAGAATTAGTGTTGGTCTAGAAATTCTCCATGTTCTGTCCTGGTCTGTGATAATCCACCTCCCTTCCTTCCATCCTAAGTTAAAGTGGGCAAAGTAAACCCTAGACAATATGGGAAAGCCAAAGGAGCAATTTTATTCTTTTTCTGTAGCAATAATAATAATATTTTCTGTTCTGCAGAACTGGTGTTTTTAGTGAAGTTTCTCCCAAAGTTTGCTGTGTTTTAGGATTTTAAAACCCCAAGGACCCAGGATTTTTTTTTTCCTCATTCAAAAATGGATGGTTCTGCTTTTCATTTAAGGTGCAGTTTAGAAAGAAGCAGCCTGTGAAACCAATTAACTAATTGGAAATCACTTAATGACTGTGGCAGCATTTTGGATTTCTGGCGTTGGTTCACAGCAGTAGAGAGAAATTGCTTTCCAATATTATGATAAGGTAAGCTGTGGAGGTCTCACAGGGGGCGGTTGAAGGCTGCTGAGAGAAACAATCAGCTCTAATATGCCCACCAAAATAATGGAGACATTATAACACGGAACTCGGTGATTGTAAAGTAAGCACAACATAAAAATCCAAAGATATGTGCCGATCTGCTGAGAATAAATGTGCAGCCATAGTTCCTGGCTATGATTTTTTGAGAGTGTCGCATAGACATTATGCTGTGGAAATTGCTCTCACAGAGAGCCGGGCATGTGTGGAAAGGGAGATGACATGAGGGGAAGGAAAAAAATAATCGAGTAAATGCTCACCCTAGAACAATTGTCCCATTAATTGTTTTAGTATGAATACAGTCATTGTTCACATTAGGGAAATAATCTGGTTAATTGCTCAAGAGTTAACATAGCCAGAGAAAATAAATTATCCCAAACATCATATTTTATCCATTTGTCATTTGTTTGTTTCAGGGTAGTGAGTCCTTTTTTCATATTTCTAAATAGCATAATTCATTGAATGAAAATCATGAGTGTAAGAAAATAATATCAGCAATCTTTTATATATATATAATTCCTTTTTACTTTATTTTAAAAGAAAGACATAGGGCTATGCATAGGCAAAGGCAATTTAAGGCAGACAATTGGATTTTCTCCTGGGCCTCAGAAAATTCTTTTGTGAGTGTGGCAATTCTTTTCACCTCCCTTTGCCTTAGTTTACCTAGCTGTAAAATGGCCTGACACCTATTGGAAGAAATAAGTATTCAACTGATGATCACATTTTGCAAAGCGTGAAGGTGTAACACTAAAAATTCTTCCAGCTATAACAAACTTTCACTGTTTCTTCCCCATTGGCACAGTAAGTGTGGGCAACAAATATCTCTCTGTGGGAGATATTTGCTGTTGTTTTCCAACAGGAAGGAAATTCTATACACAGGCATGTCACTCCACTGCCAGCATGTGGGCCTTACCTGGTCCCCAGCTTTATTAATTCAGTAGTGATGAGCAATGTAGATGCCTCCACTGGGTACTGGCATAGATGCTTGCTTTGTACTCAGCCATTCCCCAAAGGACAGAAGGTGTTCTCGTCTCAGGCAGCAGCATAAATAACGACAAGTGCCACTCACACGAATCTCTATGGCAAGCATTAGCCCACCAGACCGTGGGAAGACATCAGCCCTTTCTTCTCACCTCCCTCAGATAGTAGGTGCTCATTCAAATCAGGCTTCATCTTGCACAGCCACATCCCTGGGAGTCCTTCACACCTGAAAACACCAGGGCCAGGAGGGCAACATGAAAACTATAATGCGAAGATGATTCTTCCTTTAAAACAATGCTCCACCCTGAGTTGGAAAAAAAATGTTTAAATGTTAACCTTTCTTGAAACTTCTTAATAATTTCTCATCTGCATTCCAGAAAGTGACATCTTACTAACATGGAGATTACATCAAGACAGTATCAAGACAGCAGGGCTGATGAGCTGATTTTTAATTACCAGTAACAATGATCAATAAGTAAAACAGAACATTGAACCTAATGATACGGTGGGGAAGCAACCACATCAAGAATTCCCCACATGGGAGTCGGACTACTTCATGAAAGAGGAGGGAACTATTTTAGTCTTCTTAACAAAAGAAAAACCTCCAACATATCAAAGGAGAAAAATCCTGCAAATTAACCTTTCAGATGATTTGGAATATTTTCCAGGATGATGAACATGAAGAAAAACATGCAATTCAATTGATAGCGTTCATCACGTTGCACGGTGATCCAAAGATGAGGCTATACCTGAAAGGACAGGCTGAATGCCAATCATACGGTTCGGCACTCAGGAGCTTAAATGCCCCTGCTTCACACATGGGAGCAATTTAGACTGTTGTGCAAAGACAAGACCAAGGCCAAAGTCTAACAATAGCTCCCCTCTCTCTGAGTCCTTGAATTACTAAATGTTATTACAAAAAGAAAATATGCTTTTATCTAGATTGTTACTTTTTCCCTCTGCTGTCTTCTGTGGCTTTGCCTATAAGCTCACAGTTTGTAGTTAAATTGGACAATTACTAAGCGAGAAGTGCATAATTAATGAACAGTCACTGTATATGTTTGGGAAACTGTGACCCAATCGTTGAACAGATAGCTGAACCACTAAAATAAATGACTTGTTCCACTCATTACCTGATCAGCATTTGTTTAGAAGTTCCTTGGTGCCCTATCAAAATTCTAATCAGTTCTATTTAAATTACATTTTTTGCACTGCATTGTTATAAATGCTAATTTATGCCTAGTATGGAACAGCTTTATTTCTTACCTCCTGAAGAAACGGATGAATAAAAACATACTTCTACAGGGCATAAAAGACTATCAAGGGTTCAATGACTACTGGATTTTGCACTTGCCAAAACACATCCTGAAACTCCCAGCTGAAGTTTTAGGAGACAACAATGACATTGAAACCTCCTACAACAAAGCCATCCCCAAGAGGAAGCCGAGGACTGTCACAGCGGCATCTGCAACCACCCCCGGGACTTTCTGCTGTGGAGCACAGGGCAGCTTTTGGGATGGTAAAGGGGAAAAAAAAGGGAGATTCTTACAGCTT